GTTAAATGGATTGTAGTGTATTTCTACAAACTGGAAAATGCACTGAAATCCACATAAGTGTGAACTTAGGGTTAGTATAGACCAGGGGCAGACTGACAACTCATGGGGCCCCCGGGCAATATGGGATCGTGGGGGCCCCTGTGTCCTTGCCCAAACTCAAAAAATCCTATGAAAAAGGTACCAGGGGCATCTCATGGGGCACCCTACTGACCCTGGGCCCTCGGGCAGTGCCCAAGTTTCCAAATGGTCAGTCCACCCCTGGTATAGACATTAGTGAACATTGCACTGTTCAAACCTTCAATGTGTCTAATCACAGACATTGTACCGATTTACTTCTAATTGGGTGAGAAGGCACAGTGAAAGGGTTACAAGAAAGCAAGAGAGAGTCCACCAGATATCACCCCACATTGAAAATGGCATGGCCAGAATTGAGATGTAAATTCATATTTTCCTAGTCAAAATTTGCTACTAATTAATGCATGCATGTCTGTTAATTGCATTTGTAAAAGTTATATATTTGATACTATTGAAATGATTTAGTAGATATACTAGATTAACTCACACCATAGTTTGTGTGCACGTAAAATACTAATTCACATTCAGTGGATATGAAAAGGAAAATTTTACGTGAACATTTCTACTGTATGCAGGTTATGGTAAAAATATAATAGTAATAAATAATAATAATAATAGCTCGGCTTACTTTATCAGATCCTATATTTACCAAAAATGTTTTGTGGATAATAAACAAGCTCATTTTATGAATCTTTTATTATTAGAAGTACGTTATTAGTACATTTGTACCATAATTGTTTAAAAAGTGAGAAGAGACAAATGCATGTTCATTTTCATTGAAAAACACACAAAGGTCCATTTTTTAAATATTTGTTTTGAAAAAGCACAATTCCAGTTGACGTATGGATGTCTACAATGCTACAGCATTATTAAGCAATCACATGCAGTCTTGATGCTGCTGATGCTGGGCTGAGGAAGGAAGGAGGTGTGTCGAGGGGGGTGGTGAGCGCAGACAAGGGGCTTCTCCCAAGGCTGCTCTGTGCTCTTAATGTTTATTGTAACCAGCCAGAGAAAACCAGCAGCAGCTTATTTAGCTATTGTAGCCAACTTCTTAGTTCAAAAAGACAAAAGAACACTGACATCAAGAGGAAAGGAACCAGTAAACGGAAAAATCTACATCATGGTATTGTAGCTGATCTATACAGAGCTGCTAACAAAGAATCCAAATCACAATAAAATCAAGACGGAAATACAAGTACTGGCATTTTTATTATATCAAGTCAATTGCCTGTAGCGTGGAGGAAATTGTGCTCTTTTGCTATTTTTTTTTAAGTAGTTATTTATAGCATCAATTTGATGTTAACTGGAGTTTGACTGGAGCTAAAGGAATATCAAAGCTTGACTGTAGTATTTGCCTGCATTTCCTTGGTCAGTGTTGTATTCCCTGAGAATGAAGTTTATTCTTGTGATGTGAATTGTACTTTCCCATGAAGCCTCCTGCCATCCTATGAACCCATGCTCTCTTGTCTCAGATGTTTGAAACCTTTTGAATTGACTAATATTACAGCAGGTCGGAATGGATAAACATGTCTTGTCTCTTTTACAACTTTTCTTGTCTGTGGTTTGTGGTAAGTAACCTGATTGTGTGTCAGTGGATTGCTAGACAATTGCCAGACTTTCATTGTGTATGTGAGAGCTCCTATCTCCACTTGTCAAACTTGTAATGAAAAGCCATTGATTAAGTAGTCTGGTATAAAAGTGGCTTTTTTTGTATAACAACATATCATCAAGTGCAGAGTGGGATATATATTTAACAAAGCGATACCATTTGAAGCTACGACTATTGTAACAAGACTGTCTGATATTGTAAGAGAGGATGTGTACAATGCATGGCCAATATAAATAAACAGAACATGTTCCTTACTGATAGCATTGTTAGTCAAGAACAGGATGATGCGATATGGCAGTGACCTGGAGTTGAGTATAATGGCGTTATTGTGGTTGAGGATCTTGAAGTATATTATATTGTACTTTAGCAGGATTACACTTCTTTATAAAGTGGCAGCATGCTGAAAACACTATTTGTATATAGCCCAATATAAGTAAAAGCCCAATATAGGTAATAGCCTAATATAGGTAATAGCCCAATAGAGGTAATAGCCCAATATAGGTAATAGCCCGATATAGGTAATAGCCCAATAGAGGTAATAGCCCAATAGAGGTAATAGCCCAATATAGGTAATAGCCCAATATAGGTAATAGCCCAATATAGGTAATAGCCCAATAGAGGTAATAGCCCAATATAGGTAATAGCCCAATAGAGGTAATAGCCCAATAGAGGTAATAGCCCAATAGAGGTAATAGCCCAATAGAGGTAATAGCCCAATATAGGTAATAGCCCAATTCAGATTACAGTAACCTGTGATTTCCTTGCTTAAAAGTAATTATTGAACTCTGATCTGATTATCTTGAAAATAATGTATTGAGGCAAGGCACAAAAGGCTACATACTGTAAATATGTAGTTATGGGGAGTATGCTGTCATAATTTTTTTTTATAAAGTACACTATTTTCTAAACAGGATTTTTACTAATATGCACTGAAAGTATAAAATATTAAAGTAGAGCAAGTTAAGTGAGCATCATTTTTAGTACTTTTTAACAATCAAGTTATGAGCTTTTAATAAAAAGTTCTCTTATAATAAAGTATTTTTGGTAAACTTGCAGCAATTAGTTTATACAGTATAGCTAATCATAGCAGATAATCCAGAAACATCACGGATAAAAAGAATATTTATTTGAAAGGACTAAAATTGGCAGCAGATGCCTGTGTTGATAGAAATATTCTATGTTGTGCATACTGTAGTTAATTAAAGGAGTTTCCCATTTTTAAAACAGTAACAGTCTTTATCTCTTGAGTCATGAACATAGAGTGCTCAACATTTGTTGGCTTCCTGCTGGTAAGGAGTAAGCAGGGGCGGACTGACAACTCATGGGGCCCCCGGGCAATAGGAGATCATGGGGCCCCTGTGTCCTTGCCCAAACTCAAAAAAGCCTATGAAAAAGGTACCATGGGCATCTCATGGGGCCCCCTACTAACCCCAGGCCCTCGGGCAGTGCCTGAGTTTCCAAATGGTCAGTCCGCCCCTGGGAGTAAGCCAACTCAAAGCATACTTTGGAAATTCAGTACAATATCCGGTGACGTAATTTTCGCTTAAAAATATTACAGGAAAATTGGAAAACCCCATAAATACCAAAAATATCCAGATGTGTCCTCACTGTTGATTATCTGCTTAGAAACATTTAAGTACAAAGGTTTAATTAACCCATAGTTAATGTTGCATTGAAGTAACAAAAAGTTCAGTTTCTAATCTAGGCAATGATCTATCACATCAATCCACTCCATTCCCTTTGTTTGTAATTTGGTGAAGTTGAAACACACCTGCTGGGGATGGTGTAATGCGCTTCAGACTACTTGCTGCTGTTCACATACTGAATGTTTAAAGTGGTAGGAAAGTCTTTTTTTTATGTTTTACCTAAAGGTAAGCCTTTAATAAGGCTTTCCTGTAGGCACTGTAAATATCTCCTAAACATGCACTGTTTAGGAGATATTTACTTTAGCAGTGTCCGTGAAGTCACCAGCGTATGTGCATTGTGCTCTCAATGGACGGTGTGCCGTCCAATGAGAGAGCCATACCATGGCCGAGTACCGTGGGAGTAACATCACCGCGGCTCGGCCAAACGGCCAGAGCCCGCAAACCCAGAAGGAAAAACCGGGTGAAGATGGAAGCCCCAGGGAGCCATGACAGTGCTCCACTGAAGGGCTTCGTTTTCAGGGAAGTCTTCCATATTGTGCTAATGTGCGATGCATACTAGCACATTATGCTCTTAACTTGCAGGGAGAATATTTTTTAGATTCATTTTCTCTGGTTTACTAGCACTGTAAGATCTCGTACGCACTGGTCACTTGAGCTGGGTATAGATGGAATGAAATCGAATCTCAGCTGGTTCATCAGGGACTGGTTGAGATTTGATCCATCTATGTGCAGGCTGGTTGTACTGAAATGAATCCATCAATCGACTTCGCCCTGTTAGATTTTTTAATGTGATCACTACCAGTGGCTAGAGCTTAGGGTTGCCATCAGGGGCGTATTTACCACAAGGCAAACAAGGCATTTGCCTAGGGTGGCATTTTTCAAGGAGGCAGCACCACCCCTTGGAAGAAGGGACGGAAGAAGGGACACATGCAACATGGGGACCAGGTGGGATCCAAGAGAGGTTGCAGGCTTCTTGATAGTGTATGGAGAGTCCGACTCTCATTCCCAGGGATGTCCGGAGTTATGAAGGTGAGTGTCTTTCTTTCTTTCACCGGGGGCGGAGGGATGTTAGTGGAAGGCTCTTGTTGGAGGTGGGTAGGGGTGTTGTTAGTCAATTTCAGGTTCTCTCCGTGGGAGGGGCACCCGATTTTTCTGCTGCCTAGGGCAGCACACAAAACCTAAATACACCACTGGTTGCCACCTCATCCCTTTAAAACCAAACACGTTCTGTGGCTGATTAAGGTGGTAATTAAGCTCACTTAGTGCCTTATCTGCAAAAAATTTGCCTCAGAACCTGTATAATTAATATGTGTTTGGTTTTAAAGAGATGAGGTGTCAACCCTACTATAGCTGCTACCAGTAATCATTGTGTTCTGCTGGTAGGGAAGGCTCCCTACTGGTAGACCAAAATAATTCCTGACAGTGTTGATGGGAGAATCAACATATTTTTTTTCCTTCCACCAATAAACTTGCATTGTCTATGGACTGCTTTAGACCTGGTGCATGAGAATCCAGTATATTGGTGCCAGCAGGAAGCATGAGCACAACACCCAGCCCCATTTCCAAAAGCCTGTAAACCTCTGTGAGAGGCAGAAAGCTGCTGTGGCTGGACAAGGCTGGATGGTGCATCAATTGATGCTAATGTTTACGCCAGTATATGCCCAGGGCAGGGGTGGACTGACCATTTAGAAACTCGGGCACTGCCCGAGGGCCCGGGGTCAGTAGGGGGCCCCATGAGATACCCCTGGTACCTTTTTCATAGGCTTTTTTGAGTTTGGGCAAGGCCACAGGGGCCCCATGATCCCCTATTGCCCGGGGACCCCATGAGTTGTCAGTCCGCCCCTGGCCCAGGGATAAACATTTGGAATGCAGGCAGTCTGTGTTCTGGGCATTTGTCCCTGAGCACATTCTGGCCTAAACCTTAGTGCACTGCTCAGCTCCATCAGACCTCTCCAACCACAGCTGTTTTCAGCCTTTTAGAGAGTTGTACAGGCTGCCAGAAGCAGGGATATATGGTGTACCTGTGCCTTCCATCCTTCCCAGGATTCCATGCAACGTGGCTAAATGCTCAGTGTGCATGAGGCCTAAAGTGTATCTCTGGGCAAAACTTTTTTTTTCATTATTTTAGGGAGAGTAGGAAATGGTAAAAAAAAAATTGTTGATTTTCTTTTTTGCTGTCTGTATCCCATTGGAAAACTTTACCTTCACTTCCTATTACAGAAACACAACAGGATGTGAGAAGGGGGGGGGGGGGGGCAGACTCTTATAGACCTCTTTTGTCACAAAAACAGGTGTCCTGTAAGAGTTTGTATTTCATTAATTGTTTCAGTGACAAACACAGACAGCAATACAAATTTGACAAGCGTTCCAGTAAATGGTAAAAAAAAATGATATAATCTTATACCCACAGTTGATCCAGAGGAAGGCAAAAACCCCCAACAAAGCTTGATCCAATTTGCTCTTGCAGGGGAAAAAAAATATTCCTGATCCCCAAAGAGGCAAATCAGATATTTCCTGGATCAACTTTACCTATAAATATTAGCATCTAGTTATATTGTGTACATTTATGAAAGAATCCAGGCCTTTTTTAAAATAATCTAGAATCAGATCTTGAGGGGGTCTATTCCACATTTTCACAAAGTCTTTCTGTATTTGGAGATTACTTCTCTTTTCCTCCAGACGTAAAGAGTGCCCCCTTGTCCTCTGTGATGACCTTAAAGTGAAAAAATCTACACCAAGTTTACTATATGGACCACTTATTTATGTATACATGTTGATCATATCGCCCTTTAAAGGATATGTTCAGCTTTATACAAAAAAATAATAAATTTACAGTTTTTTTGCAGGTAAAAAAAAGTGCATTTATTAATTTTTGCTGCAGGAGCCTGTAAACCATTGCACCAAGTGATCAGCATATCGCTGGTGCCAAGCAGGTCTCCTGCAGATCTGTCAATATATATGTTTGATATGGGATTTACAGGCAAGCAAATATACTGACCGGAAGAATCAATGAACATTAAGAACTACAAGCCGACAGCCGCTAAGGTTTCTCATTCACAGAGCACAGTGAATGAGTGATGCGTCTGTGTGAGCGGAGCCCTGCATGGTGGCTTTTTTAAAAAATTTAACAGCTAGCAAGGGAGAAGAAGATCCCCGCTAGCTGTCAAAACAGGGGAGTGGGAGAGCAAGGGCCAGTACATTCATAACATGTTACATGTTACACCCTGAATATGGGAGTAACATGTAATATGGTATGAAAGGTGAACTTGTCCTTTAATCTCCTCTTCTCAAGAGAGAATAAATTCAGTTCCTCTAATCTTTCCTCATAGCTGAGCTCCTCCATGCCTCTTATCAGTTTAGTTGCCCTTCTCTGTACTTTCTCCAGTTCCCCAATGTTCTTTTTGTGAATTGGTGCCCAAAACTGAACTGCATATTCCAGATGAGGTGTTACTAATGATTTGTACAGGAGTAATATGATATCTCTCTCTCTGGAGTCTATACCTCTCTTAACCACTTCCCGACCGGCCGTTGTATATAAACGTCCGGACGGTGGCACTGCAGGGTCGGGTGGCAATTATAAACGGCCTCCCCGCACCCTGCTTGTGCGTGCTCCCCGGGAGCCGCTGTGTCCTCCAGACACAGTGAAACACCATTCGTCGGACGGGACCTCTGTACGAGGCCCCGATCATGTGATCACTGATTGGCCAATCAGTGATCACATGCAAAGTAGTAGTTACTACGTGTGAAATCTGTGAATGATCACAAAGGTCACATGGTACAAGGCTATTCACAACAGCCTTGTACCATGTGACAAGCTGTGACCAATCACAGCTCACTCAGTAGTTCTCAATGACTGCAAGAATGCAGCCAGAGAGAAAGAGAAATGATTGCTTTTACATCCTATATGGGTGTAAAAGCAATCAGTGTAACACACTATACTGCTAGGGTGACAGTATGTAAAAAAACAAAAAATAAATATATATAAAAAAAAATAACAATGTAAAAAAATTTTTTTTAAAAAATTATAATTTTTGGTTATAAAATAATTTGGCTAATTTTTTTTTTTTTTTACTAAAAAGATAACGGAATACATTTTGGCCAAGATTTATGCTGAAATATTATTTATTTGCAAAATTTTATAAGAAAAACACCTTTTTTAAAAAATTTTTGGACATTTTCATTTACATAGCAAAAAAAAATAAAAATCCCAGTGGTGAATAAATACCACCAAAATAAAGTTTTATCTGTTTCAAAAAAATGGTAAAAAATTCATATGGGTACAGTGTTGCGTGACCGCGCAATTGTCATTCAAAGTGTGATAGCGCTGAAAGCTGAAAATCGCCTTGGTCAGGAAGGAGTGAAAGTGTCCGGACTAGAAGTGGTTAATACAAGAAAGAATATTGCTTGCTTTTGGAAACCGCAGGTTGCGTTGCTTGCATGCATTATTAAGCTTATGATCTACCAGAACTCCCAGATCCTTCCCCACCATTGATTCCCCCAGTTGTACTCCCCCTAGTATGTAAGATGCATGTATATTTTAGGCCTTCAAGTTCATAACTTTACATTTATCAACATTAAATCTCATTTGCCACACAGTTGCCCAATTAAACAGTGCATTGAGGTCGGCTTGTAAGTTTGAGGCATCCTGTAGGGACGTACTTACACTGCATAACTTGTCATCTGCAAACACTGAAATGGTACTTTTAACCCTAGACCCTATGTAATTTATAAATCTATTAAAAAGTAAGGGTCCCAACACTGAACCTTGGGGTACACCACTGACAACCCTAGACCATTCAGAGTATGAATCATTAACCACTTCTAGCTATCTCTATATATCTCTGAGTACGGTCTTTTAGCCAGTTTTCCATCCATTTACATACGGATTTTTCCAAGCCTGTAGATTGTACCTTACACATTAGCTTTGTGTGGGGAATTATGCCAAAAGCTTTTGCAACATCCACGTATGCTATATCCGCAGTCATTCCTTTGTCCACGGTTTTGCTTACCTCATAGAAAGAAATCTGATTTGTTTGACAACGTCTGTCTTTCGTGAATCCATGCTGTCTGTTACCTAAAATATTTTTTTTCTAGCAAGAACTCATCTATGTGGTCTTCAATTAAACTCTCCAGTGTCTTCTCAATTATAGAAGTTAAACTAACAGGTTTTTAGTTACTTGGTAAAGACTTTGATCCCTTTTTAAATATAGGCACCACATTGGCCTTACGCCAATCCAGTGGTACTATGCCAGCCATTAAAGAGTCTCTAAACAATGGCTTTGAAATGACAGAGTTCAATTCTTTTAGGTCCTGTGGGTGTATGCCATCTGGTCGAAATGCTTTATTCACCTTTATTCTGTCTAAATATTTCTGGACCATATCAATTGTGAGCCAATGTGGATCACTTGGGGCTGTGTCAATATTACCTCCTTTATGGACATGAAAACCCCCATGCTCCTTTGTCTACACAGAGCTGAAGAAGGTATTTAATAAATGTATCTTCTCCTTGTCCCCAGTCACCCACTCTAGATTATTTTGTAAAGGGTCTACATGCTCACACCCGACCTTTTTACGCAATATATTTGAGGGTTTGTTCTACTTTCTTTTGCAATCTGTTGTTTGTTTTGAATTTTTGTGTCCTTGATTTCCTTTTTATATATTCTGTTATGTTCTTTGTAACATTTAAACGATGATAGTGTTCCTTCATTTTTATATTTTTTGAAAGCTCTTTTCTTACTATTTATAGCTTTTTTAACTTTGGATGTGAGCCACATAGGTTTTATTTTTAACCTTTTATACTTTTTGTCCATGGGAATATATTTTGCAGCGTGTTCACATAGTCTTTTTGAAGGATTCCCATTTTTGTTCTGTGTTCTTCAATGCCAATATTCCCTCCCAGTTTAAGTCCTGGAGAGCAGCCCCCATCCTTGGAAAATTTGGTCTCTTAAAGTTAAGTGTTTTTATCTTTCCAGTATGTGTTTGTTGTTTACAGCTAACATTAAATGAAATCATGTTATGGTCACTGCTGAATTCAGTAGGGTGTGTGAGTTGACTCTCGGACTAGATCCAAAACTATTGCTTCTGAATGTTTTTGAGGACCCTCCTCCAGGAAGATATGTTCAACTGTTTATCTGTTATGCCACCTACTATGAACATAGGGAGATACTGCTTAAATGGAATTCAGTTAACTCCCCTACAGTAGCCTCATGGCGTAATGCTCCAAATGCGGTTCTCCCATTATATAGGCTCACCAGGGGTGGACTGACAACTCATGGGGCCCTTGGGAAATAGGGGATCATGGGGCCCCTGTGTCCTTGCCCAAACTCAAAAAAAACCTATGAAAAAGGTACCAGGCATCTCATGGGGCCCCCTACTGACCCTGGGCCCTCGGGCAGTGCCCCGAGTTTCCAAATGGTCAGTCCGCCCCTGAGCTCACCTATATAAATTTCAATTGTCCTAAGAAATTTGACAAGATTTGGTCTGTATAGGTAGACTCTTATGGTTCAGACGTTGACCCCATGGTATAGCCCTAAGTGGTCTTAACCACCTTCAGGTGTATGCTGGTACATGAGTTAGTGATCCTAGTCCCTGTCTAATTTTTTCCCTCTCCTTCCCCTCCCCCCCCCCTTCCCCCCCCTTTCTTCCCTTTTTTCCCTTTTACCTCTTTCCCCTTCCCCTTCCTCCCCCCCTCCTGGGTTGTTTAGGCATCCATATCCTATTCAGGGAATTGAGGAACCATTGCAAGATCCCCCTCTATTTTTGATTGGGTCCCTGGACTTGTTACCTCTTTGAATGTCATTCTACCTGAGGCATTTACTATTTTTCTG